CGTGGTCGGGGCTCATCCCCGTCGCGGTCCGCCCCGCCTTCGGGAACCCCAACTCCATCGAGGACGAAGAGGAGGAGGAAGCGCTGTCCTCGAAGGAAGTGGTGGCCATCGGGGGAAAGCCGGGGTCGCAGAACTGGCGTCGCGCGTAGCGCAGCAGCACGCGCAGAATCGCGTCCTGCGCCCACTCCTCACAGTTCGGCAGCTCCTTGCAGATCCTTCGAAAGACCGGGTGCAGCAGATCCTCACGATCCGGGGCGATCCGCTGAAAGACCATCACCGCGGTCCCCATTACATCAGGGTTGGGATCGTTCAGGAGGTCGCGCAGCACCTGGTGGATGCTATCCATCTGAATATTGGTTTTGCCGATCGAGTGCGCCTGTAGGAGACCAATAGCGGCGGCTTTCCGAACAATCGGCGCCTGATCTTTTGCACATTTTCTCACCGCTACCATCACAACCGGGTGGATGGAGGGAATATTAATCGTACACAGCATCCGCAATGCAAGCGCGCGTACGTGAATACTCCTATCCGTCAGATCTTTCTGAAAGGCTGAGATCGAAAGAAGCGCCTCGTTCGGGCAGGTGTGGGCGTAGTGAACGACAAACATGTAAATCAACTTCCGCAGCTCCATCGAGGGCTCGTGAATATTCTTCACTACGTCAGGGAAGAAAGACTGCATATCGGAACCCTTGCAGATCTGTGCTGTGATCACTTTCATTCCGTACATTTTATCGTAAATGGAGTTTGAGTAAAGCGCCTGGCGAATCTCGCTGCTCTTGGGAACAACGGCGAAGATCTGGGAATCACCGGAGACTAGGGATTGCGCTTTGGAAAGAACGCTACCGGTGTTGACGAGGAATTCCTTCGCCCGCTCTGTAGCAATACTAGCACGCTCTAACATTATTTTATCTACAAGTTTTGGAATGTATATGTTTATGTGAATATATATTTGTAGGGTGATAAAATAGGTCTGAAATTTGTGTAATGAGTTTAAATAAACTAAACACACGTCTGCAGTAGATATGCATACGCTAAGATGATCAAAAAAAAAAGCAAGGATTAAGTATGATAACAGAAGAAATAATTTTTTCAAAGCGCCATAATTTTTAACCGATGAATTCATAGTTCTCAACACAAGCGACAGGAGCAAGTATCCATATGAATTTATCTTAATATATAGAATTTATTTTGAACTCATGAAATTCATGAATCTATTCCATTTACTTTCCGTTTCAAGGACATCAGACAATCTTTTCGACACTATCTACGTTGATAATCTCAGTCAGTCCGTTGTCAAGTTCTATCTTCGCCTTTTTCTCCTTTGGTGAATCACTTAACTCTTTTTCGCTAAATAGTTTGGAATTTTGTTCAGTGTTCCTTGCATGGTTGGCCATTTTTCCATCCATGTTTGTAGCTGGTGCTAACTTTGAAGACGGCGTCTTTGTAAAAAACGAAGACAAACTAACAGGAGGTCGATACTGGCATTTGGCAGCTCCCGAAATCTTATCAGTATGCGGTTCTAAAATAATGGATGGGTGGAAAAGCGCGCACACACCAATATGATCGCTGAATTGAGGAGGGGTGAGAAATAATCCTGTAGAGGGAAGTCCGCGGAATGGGATATCGAGCGCATTTGAACTGAGCTGTGGGATTCCAGAGCGATCGAAGGCGGCGGACGGGTATAACCCATCCCCCCTTGCCCGACGAACCCCCTCCTCGCGGGCCCCACCGCTAAACTCACCGAAAAAATCCCCCTCCTCGTCATAACACCCATTAGAAAGATCCATAAACATTGAATTAGTTCCTTGATTAGTCTGGTGGTTAAGGTGGTTTGAGTCGAATAGGTTGTTTTTGCTGTTTGTGGGAGGCCTCACGTAAGGCGCGAGTGCGCGGTCGACGAGGATGTAGTCCAAACGCGTACCCTCGTTCACCTGCCGCCGATTCCGCGATTGATCCCAGCAGGTGAAGGGGCATGGGCAGTCCGCAGAACCGCTAAACGCCTCGCAGGGCCCTCCGTTTGGCGTCAGGGTAAACGTATCCCGCATCGCGCTCGCGAAATAGCCCCCCAACGGCGTCGAATGGCCCCCATAAGGGGGATGCGCATGGTGTAAAAGCCGGCCCATGAACGCGATGGACTCGTCGTCGTGAGGGGGCAACCCGCAATACCGCGTCAGCGCGTAGAGCTCGCGATGCTGGGCGACTCGGGCGGTGGGGTTGGGGGCGATTTCATCCACAAAAATGCTGGAAAAGCCCGCTTCGTAGAGCTCCGCCAGGGTCATAGGCGGATTTGTGGATTCGACAAAACCCCCGGCGTTCGGCTGGGATGACGCGAGCATGCACGACGGCCCCTTCTTCGAGGGATTGGGCGCGGTGGACAGCTGGCAAAGCGTTTTGAGATGCTCGATGCGCGGTTCGTTCGGGATTCCGGAACCCCCCTTGTCGTACGCATCACGGATGCGGGAATCCACAGAAACGACGCTGGTTTGGGTGGTGCTTTGGGAAGAGTCTTTTCGGGATTCGTGATCCACGTGTACGGCATCGGTTAAGCCTTTATCGTCCATCGCCTTCAAAGGAGAGGAGGCCGTCGGGTTCACGATCTCTAGAGCGCGAAGCCAAAGCGATTGCACTACCGTGGCGGTCAAGCGAGAAAGGGCGGGCTTCGAAAGATACGGATACCGCTTCTCCCACGCCTCCGCCGTGTGCGTCCTAGACTGTTGATTTAATTCGACCATTTTGCCGATATGAAGACGGCGCAGCGTCCAGGCCGCGTCCTCCGCGCGATAGGTCATGTTTAAATCCCCCACCAACACCAAAGGCTTCTTGGATGTCTGTCGTACGCGATCCATGACCGAAACGAGGGAATTTAAAAAGTATCGCTTGTACTCACTTCGCGCGCACCCCCTGGCGTTGGGAACGTAAACGTTAAAGAGTACAAAGGCGCTGTGATAGGTGACCACCACTCGACCTTCATCGTCCAAATCATCCTTGCCAAAAGGCCGCGCATCGCAAGCAATGGTGCGGCCTTTCCGCACAAACGTCACCACGCCGTTAAAGCCCTTGTGGACTTTTTTGCTAAAGGACCAAAAAGACTCCCAATCCCGCATCGTCTCCCCTGTAATGGGGGCCCCGCGATTGGTGATCGCGGCATGGGAAGGGGAAGCGCCTTTCAGGGCGGGCGGGGCGGCTTTGGCGAGGCTTCGCTTCGAAACGGGCGGATCCTCGACGCCCATCTCGACCGGCCCCGTCTGAAGTTTATCCCACGTCCCTTTGCACTCCTGCAAGCAAATGATATCCGCCCCTGTTTGGTGAAAAAAACGCGCGACGCTGCCGTAGCTCTCGCGAATTCCCCGCACCGTTGCCGACCATCCCGCCACGTTCCAGCTAATCAGGAGCATGATTCGCTCAAAGGAAGGCGATCGATAATTAAAGACGCGCTAAAATGATAATAAATTTATTTATTTTTAAAAAGGAAGAGTGGGTTGAAACCAGATTCAGCATTCGCACAAAACGAGGTGAATTCATACGCGCTTTGTGTGGATTGACCTGCTATGGTTTCAAACTCCTCCCTATTGATGTAGAGGTCGGTGGGTGGGAAAAAAAAGGGTAGAAATTTAAAACCTGAAAATCACAGTAATATCGAATGAGTCGAGTCAATCATGAACCCCCCTTGTTAATCATACACTTTCAAAATCAGAGCAGGATAAATACACATTTACTTTACACACATGTAAAAGAGTATCAGATTATTCAAAATGATGTTTGGTGGCAAAGAATGAATCACTATACCCGCATCGCAAGTTTGGGAATTCGAAATCTTCTCCAAATTGGGTAATGATGAGAAAAGAATCCTCAGAATTACCATAAGATTCCAGTATGGTTTCACCTTTCCCTCTTCCGTCCCATTCGCCTTCTTCCAGTGCCTATAGGTAATGCATGACGAAGAAAAAGGAAACACAATAAATGGAAATAATTTGCCTTCTCGCTTCATCCTAATGAGAAGTATTTCAAAAGTTAAAAAAAGGTGCTACGCAAAGGGCTTTTGCTTTTGAGTCTTTCAGCCTGCATGTACTATACATTTCCGTTTCACACTAACCGAATCGCACTCATCATACGCTTGACGTCCTGGAACAAAGAATCAAAAAGAAGAGTGTATTCCAATAAAGATATTGACATGTTATTCAACCCATTTACCGGACAATTTTCGCAAAACAATTCTGCCCTTTCACGTCACGACTCAAGCTCTGCCGGACGCGCGGCCTGAATTCGACGATTTAGTACAAACTTTTCATACAACGCGATATGTTTATCACGCTCTCGCTGCATGCCCTCTTGGTAAAGATGCTGCGTGAGGGTTTTTTCCGTCTCCGGGGTTAGCTTCTTCGCGACTTTGGCGTGGAGACTCGTGAGCCGATGGTACAACTCCGCGAAATTTCGCTCCCTCAGCTGGATCGACTCCTCATAAAGCCGACTCACCATCCGCGCCTCATCCTCCGAGTTAATCCGGGTGGTGGTTAAAATGGAGTTTTTGAGGATATCCGCCTTCATCTGGCGGGCGATCTCCTCGTGCTCGCGCTGGCGCCGCGCGAGGGAGTCGTCGTATAAATGTTTGATCTGCTGTTCAAGCTCCTTCAGCGTGATCAGGCGCTTTTCTACGAGAGGTTTCAGCTCCCACTCCCGGCGGGGAGGCCGGGAGAGCCGCTCCACGCTTTTCTGAACCTCATCAGGGGAAAGCCGCAGGGTCGTCGGTTGCTTCTCCTCCACAGGCATGGCGTAATCTTGATGGTATCGGAAGTCTACTTTCTTAGAGGGAAAACGTATCAATAGAGAAAAAAAGAGAGAGAAAAAAAAAAGAAAGGACATGTTTAGTTGGGGTTGAGTAAACCAGGACAACCTATCGTAATCCCATTTTAGTAGATTGGAAATTCAAACCACCACTAAGAAGGACCAGAATCAAAACGATGATAAAGAAACTGCTGGCGCTCTCCAGTACAGATGCCGCCTCTCGGTTCGGGTCACTTTGTATGTTTTGTTTTGATAGTCATGTTTAGCAAAGTGTGCCAACATAGAGTGATGCGAACCTTCGCATGAACAAATAGAAGATTGGGAATCTTTTATGTAATAAATACATGTAAAAAAATAATTAAAAAGAAGCTTTTCGTATGAGCAAAATTAATAGAAACACTCATAAAGAACTATCCAATGGGAAAAAAAAACTTAAGAAGAAATAGCTCTAATAATGAATAAATAATTAAACTATGTACTACTAATGAAACAAACGTCTCAGACAACGGAGAGGGCAAGCGATTTTTTTGTTTTTACGGTCAGTCGCGTCCTAGAACTAATCATGAAGTGTTCAACCCTCTATGCCGACCATTCGTCCATCTCGCATGGGCTATGTGGGGAGTCTGAATTATTCGGAAGAAAAACGTACGACGTGCTCAGCGTCTCCACCACTTCTGGATTCCACTCGTACACCGCGTGGGTTTGCCGGACCTCCTCGGTTGGATTTTCGATCCCGTATTGGGGGTAATAGAGCTCGAAAAGCTGCTGGAGGGCCTCGCGGGCGTCGGCCTTGGAATGGATGCGGAGGTGGCGTCCCCAGTCCACGACTTTCTCCCCCAGCGCCCCGCACACGCCGAGATCGCGACAGTAGAGCTCGTGGGGTGGCCAATAGCGCCCCAAAATGTCATCCTCCATGCAGGAGCTCAACAAGACGCACTCCCCGAGGAGGCCTTTCGCCACCAGGTGGTTGATCTCCGGCTGGAAGCCCTGGGCGAGGTCGAGGAAATGGATAAACCGCATCGTCCGCGCGGCCCCGCACGAATCCGCCGCGAGATCCGCGGGAAAGCGCAGATAACGGCGGCCCGCGCGCGGAAAGGCCTCAAAGGCGATGAGAATCCCCCGAAACGGCCCCCCCCCAGGGGGCCCGTCGAGCCCGGGCGACGCCAGCGAGCGCACCCCGATGTTATCCCCGCGCAGCTGGCCGTTCAGCATCACGTCCAAGACCTTCCAGTCGAAGACCGCCTTCAGGACGAGCTGGGCGTACAGGAACTGAAATAACTCGCCATCCGCGAGCGGGCTGTTGACGAGGGTGTCGTAAAGCGGGTCGAAGCCGGCGTCGGCGTCGCTCAGAAAGCGCCCGAGGGTGCCGTCCATGAGATCCATCACGAGATAGCAGAGTTTGCGCGGGTGGCCCCC